CATCCAAGACAGTAATATTAATTTAAATAAAATTTTTTTAAGGAAAAAAATTAAAAAAAAAAAAAAAGTCAATTAACAGTTAAGTTACTGTCTCCGACAGTTAAATAACTGCTGGAGACAGTAATTTAGCAACGAATACAGTAATATTAATTAAAAATATTTTTTTTAAGAATAAAAAAAGTCAATTAACAGTTAAGTTACTGTCTCCGACAGTTAAATAACTGCTGGAGACAGTAATTTAGCAACAAATACAGTAATATTAATTAAAAATATTTTTTTTAAGAATAAAAAAGTCAATTAACAGTTAAATTACTGTCTCCAACAGTTAAATAACTGCTGGAGACAGTAATTTAGCAACGAATACAGTAATATTAATTAAAATATTTTTGAAGAAAAAAAAAAAAAAAAAAACAGTCGATTAACAGTTAAATTACTGTCTCCGACAGTAAAATAGCTGCCGGAGACAGTAATTTAACAGCTTAGACAGTAAAATTAATTAAAATATTCTTTTCTCCGCATACAATAAAAAAAAAAAGTCAACGCCGGAGACCCGGCGGTCAACGGCCGTTGACCGACCGGAAAAAAATTTCAGGAAAACAAAATTCAAAAAAAAAAAAAAAAAAGTCAACGCCGGAATCTGGCCGGAAAAAAAATATTTCAGAAAAAAAATTATTTTCTGAAAAAAAAAATTTTTGGGGGTTAATGTGATATATTTGTTAAAATCCGGGGTCAATGTGTAATATTAAAGAAGTTAGAGCATAATGGGTGGAATTGATACGAATTAGGGTTAAAATTGGGGTCAAAATTGAAATTTGGGTTAAAATTGGTTAATTGATGAAATTGGGCTAAATTGGGGTGTAAATCATGAAATTGGAGTTAAATTGGGTTTCAAATGAATTGAGGGTAATTTTGGTATATATAAATGGATTTTCCTTATTTGCAAATAAGTTTGAATGGGGTGAATTTATTTGAAAGACAAAAAAGTTGGATGTCCCTATTTTAATTAAGTGCCCTTGTCATGGGCCTATTTGCCATTACCCCATGAAATATATCAGGTAGAACACAACCAAAAAGTGGAAAAGGTAAATATATTACAATAAATCAGCTTATTTAACCTTTCTACCAAATAATATGTTGAGGTTGAACTATTACAATGATAAATAAATAAATAATTATTAATAAAAAATAAGTAAATAAAAAAAAAATGGTAGCTAGCTCACATTTCCATAAATTAGGAATCATATCCTAATTATGATTCTCCATTTTATGCCCACTTTTATGGAAAGTGACTGCCTATTTTAAGGTTACATGAATATGGCTTTGCATGAAAGTTCACAAAACTCTTTTTTGAATATTGATTTATTCTTGGGACTCTTCTCTCACATAATATATATATATATATATATATATATCATTGTTTTTATGCATAAAACAAATCTTAATTCTTGATTATTATTAATTTTTAATTGAGTTTTGTTTTTTTCTTTCTATTTTATGGTATAGTAGTAGGCATGGCCATATTCTCTAAATGAACACATTCAAATTAAACACCAAAACATACAAATGAGAGAGAAACTATACACAACACAAACTCTGAAAAAGAAAACTAATAATTAATAATTAAATAAAAAATTTCTAATTCCACACCGTTTTCACTTTATACAAAGTCAGTCAGGCAGAAAAGACCACCACCTCCTCCTCTCCACGTGGATGGATTCCCACCAGTGGCATCTCGTCACGTGATCAGAAAAAGCCCACCACGTGACATTATTGGCTCCTCCCCTGTCTCTGTCTCCGTCACTGTTCCTCCGCCGACCATCTCCACCACCGCCTCACGCACTAAGGACTCCACGATCTCACCTTCAATCTCACACACTAACCTCTCCCCTTCCTCCTCAAAAAACCCATCATCATTTATCCGCCACTTATTACACAAATCGCCGCCGACCAAGGAATCCACATCTTCAAGAACCAGACAATTCGCCGCCGGAAAACTCGCTATCCTCTTGCATATTTCATCGATCAAGCAAGGCTGCTCCTCCGCCGGAGAACCAACCCACGGCTTGAAATCCAAGTGGGGTCTTAAAATCCCAGCCAGAATTTCGTCCACCAGCTGGAAAATCAGCTTCCTGTTGCACCGGCGGCTCAGAACGCCGCCGCCGCCGCCGGCGGCGGCGGAGGAAGGGTGGAAGAGCTCGAGGTAGTAGTAGATTGAGGGGTCAAGTGGGTGGGCGGGTGTGTGCCATTTCCCCAAGGCTAGAGGGGTAAAATTGTCATGAATGCCTGTCCGTTTAAGGATTTTTTGGACGTAAGTAGTGTACTCCGCCGCCGCCGCCGCGGCGGAGACAGTGGTGGCGCAACCGTTAGATTTGTCTGGTGGGGCGTGTCCCGAGGGGGTGGATATAATAAAATGAGGTTGCAGCTTGTTGTACGAACGGCTCGTATTACTAGATAACTGTGTGTTCCTTTTCGATGAAAGAGCATCTGATACCTGTGACTGCAAATTTTTTTTTTTTTTTTTTTTTTTACCCCCACCCCAAATTAAATACAACAGAAAAAAAAAATATATACAGTACTATATCAGTAAATTAATAGGGGAAAAGAAATTTCAGTCAAATTACGAAAAAACCCCACATGTTTAAGTAATTACGACCATCCCTAAATTATGAATCTTCTTAACACTTCTCCCGTTGTGGTATCAAATTTTGTGGAATCTTCTAGATTATGTGGTATATTCTTTAGTTGATACCCGTTTACCGCATTCGAGCTCCAGATTTTAAAATCAGATGATCATAAGACGTGTCTCTTGCCTAGTAAATGTCATATCGTGGTGCATTAGAAACTACATTTTGGTACAAAACGAGTACAAACTAGAGAACATTCCACATAATCTAAAAGTATCTATTGAGTTTGACACCATAAGAGTAGACGTGTAAGAAGATTCATAATTAAGGAGAGTGAATGTAATTACCCAAACTACATAGTTTTTTTTTTTTTTTTTTTTAATTTGACCTTACCTCTGGAAGTTGCCGTAATTTATCCTAACATTTATGTTAAATTGTAGTAATACTTAAAAAAAAAAGAAAAAAGAAAACACATGAATTAAAAAAAAAAAAAAAAAAAAGAAGAAAAAAGAAAAGTGTAGATGAAATACCTGTTTTTGAGGTAATTTAGTGGCAGGTGGAGAAGGGTCTTTCTTGACCGGCAGAAGAGTGGGCCCACTTATGTTCAGTTTTTCATTCGACATTAACAATGGATCTTTCTTCTTCTTCTTCTTCCCCTCCATCATATTTACTTTCTTGCCATATTTGATCTGCTGCACACGCTTATGTTCATGTACCACACTCTGAATATTCTTCTTAAGTTTCATCGAGCTCAAAATCACCTCTTCCGGAGAAGAAGAAGATGTTGTTTTCGGGATATGTTTCTTCTTTTTAACGTCGGAGAATCCGACTCTGATGTTCTTGGTGGGTTTGAGCAGAACAAGATTCTGATCCCTTCTTCTAACAATACTCGTTTCGTCCCGGTTCGTGATATCGTGAAGCCCGATTCGTCTCCCCACGTTTTCTTTTACCTGTTTCACAATCTGCTTCGCGTAGTGCCCCGGGCGGCTACCCGTGTTCTCTTTGTGAATGTAGTGGTATTCGGAGTCCGACCTTCTCGCCGACGATATTTGGTGGTGGGGTGTCTCCGGCAACGAACGTGCTCCGACGCTGATGTCGTCGTCGGAGAAGCATCTTTTGTTGTTTCTTGATCCGACAACGTTTGTGTGCTGGTGCTGTTTGGTTTGTTTGGGAATGATTAACGAAGGCGATGATGACGTGGGATGGTCGGGGAGTAAATCAAGGCCCATAAGCCTCGCCACCAGGCTCGGCGTCTTCGCCGATGGCGAATCGCTGCTGCAATATCCTGTTGAGATTGTATCCTCTGTTCTTGATTTTGATGCCACGTTTGAGATTCTTGTTTTTATTTGAATCCCCACCTATAATATTTAATTATGAAAAAATGTAACATATAAATATTTTTTAATAAATTGAAAATGAAAAAATATCACACACTAATACACATACTGGGGGTGTTAAATTATCTTCTTTTTCTTCTTTAATGGCGGCTGGCTCTAATTCCTTCTCCAAGCTGTTTCTTGGTGCTTCCACTCCTGCATGAAATAAATTATTATTCTACAAGAAAAAATAATTAAAATGTGTGAATTAATATATTTAATTTGTTGTGTGTGTGAGAGAAATGAGACCTTTGGAAGTAATGGATTCTTCTTGGAAGAAATGGTTGCTATGGTGGAAGCTGAATGGGTGGTGGTGGTTCAAGTCGAAGAGGTGGAAAACAGCGCACATGCAGCCGGCGGAAGTGGAGCCGCCGCCGTCAGAGTCTCTTGTTTTTGAAGACAATCGTCTACTACTACTGCTACTACTAGTACTTCTCCTGGCGGAGGAGGGCCTGACCGCTCCTCCGCCAACGACCCAATAGAGCCAATCTCTGCCCATGTATGAAACTTTGCTATTATTCCGAACTACTAGCTTCTTCTTTTGTTGAAAAAAGAGAAAATGAGCAATTTATTACTAAAGAAAAAGAAAAAAAAAAGAAAAGGAAAAATAATAAAGAAAGGAAGAAAGAATATATTCGTTTATATAAAGAAAATCAGAGTGAAAATGACAAACTGGGAGTGGTAGTGCTTGTGAAGCGAGATATCCGGATCCGTGGATCTCTCTTTTACCCGGCCCACTTTTTCCTTTTCTTTTCTGGGTTTTTGTATCAACCAATTTTTTTCACACACACACACTCAATTTTATTATTAATTTATTTTCACTCACTCCCAAGAAACAGAGGACTCTCTCTCTCTCTCTCTCTCTTGTTTTCTCTCTCTAGACTGTATAGAGAGAGGTATTGGGAATAGAAAGGATGACGAAATGGGCACGCTCTCTTGTTTGGCTGTTTTTATACAAACACCATTGCCCTATCTATATATACATACATTTTTATATATATATGTATGTGTGTATGACTGTGTCTGTGACTGTGTGTGTGTGCGTGCCCACCATCTCCCTCCACTATTTTAAATAAATTCAAGGACCTGTTTTATTTGGGATCTTGAATATTTGTTCTAATCTCACTCCCCATCTTAATTACCCCTTTTTCTTTTAATTTTTATCCTTTATAAATTACCATTTTGGAAATTTTGCTTTTCTTTACTATTCCATCCGTTTCACAATAATGTCACATTGGCAATATGTCATTGTTTTCATTTTTTATACCAATTTTGCCCTCTGCCATTGATTGTTAAGTCCATTAGTTTATCTTTGTTCGAGGTTTGTAAGATGTAATTTGAGATTTCACTAAAAATAAGGTTTTTTTAATAGAGTAAACTGCAAATACTACCCCTGTGTTATCTCGAAATAGCAAAAACCCCCCTGTGATAAATAAACTAGCAAAAACCCCCCTGTGAAATTTAGTCAAAGGCAGAATCCCCCTAGCTGATTTTTTAGACTTGAAATGACAAAATTGTCCCTCAAAATGTATTTATATATATACATATTATATATATATTTATTCTTTTTAATTTATTTGTTTAGAAATTAAAAAAATAGTAAACAACTAAATTGATTATTTTTTAAATAAAATAATTAAAATATTTATAAAATATAAGAATTTATTAATTGCAAGACTTCAGGGGTATTTGGGTCTTTTCATATCAAGTCAACCCTCAAATAGTTCCATAGGCGGGTTTTTGCTATTTAAATAATTTCACAGGGGAGGTTTTTGCTAGTTTATTTATCACAGGGGGGTTTTTGCTATTTCGAGATTATACAGGGGTAGTTTTTGCAGTTTACTCTTTTTTAATATGTTGTGTGTTTATCTTAAGCGATACTTATTTTGCAACGGATGGAGTATCTGAAACTTTAGAACATCCAAATGTCTCACTCCAATTTCAAAATGAATGTTATTTTGGGTTGGTGCACACGTTTTCATAAATTAATAAAGGTTGCGGCTATATGCAAGATTAAAACCACTTGTCCAATATCAAATTAAAATTTTCAATGTTTAAATACTATAATACCCTTAGAAAATTCCAAATGTGCAAGACCAAAAATTCAAAAACACGAAAAGCCCTATCACAAGACCATAAGACCACAAGACCAACTCTCATCTTCTTCATCTTCCAAAATGCACAAGACTTTTCTTCTTCCTACTCCATAAACCCACAAAACCTAAACATTCAAAATCATCAAAACTCAACAAATCTTACAAAGATGGCAAGTATGGAGTCAGAAGACATCAAAATAGACGATTCTACGGTAGAAGAACCCAAGAAGGTATGCATTTATGGGTTTTTTTAGCTAGAATATCGTTTTTCCAAAAAAAATCCCGCGCAAACGAATTCGACATGTACATGTCGAATTTTATGGGTAAAAATCGACATTTAGATGTCGATTTTGAGGCATACAATTCGACATTTTGCAATGTCGAATTTGTGCTATAAATTCGACATGTCAATGTCGATTTTTACCTATAAAATTCAACGCTTAAGTGTCGATTTGTAGCACAGTTTTTCGACACCTTGGTGTCGATTTTTACCAGTTTCAAATTTAATTTGTTTTTCCTTTTTTTTTGTAAGGTTGAACAAAATGAGGAAGGCGGGCGTAGGTGATGGAGCTTGGGCAGCGGAGCTTGGTGGCGGAGCTTTGATGGTGGAGAAGGTGGGCGTATGTAGGGTTTGAGGAGGGGGACTGTTTGTTTTTTTAATTCACACGTCTTTTTTTTTCCTCATTATTTGTATTTGGTCTTGCATGAGAAAAAAAAAGCCAATTTAATTTATGGGTATATTTGTCATTTTATCTTAATAAAATAGAATCTTTTGAAATCTTTCTTTAATTTGGTATTGCACAAGTGGAATTAGTATTGCATATAGCCGCAGCCATTAATAAATATGTGTTGATTTTGGCAAAAATTAGGGATGCGAATAATGTCGTCGTTTCCGTTCTAAGAATTTTGTTTCGTCTTCAAACGTAATTTTGGCTATTTTTAAGTCTTAATTTGTCGAAACTCAAAACACAGAATTTGTAGTTCTCTGAGTTACTATCTAATCCAACTCGAATCACCAATATTGGATGTTGAGAGAGAAAGATATGCATGAATCAATGAACATAATTTTAATATTTTTTTGAGATAATAAAAAGTGAAATCAAAACCAAACCAAAACATTGCCAATACATATTTATCTACGGAGATAGTTAACAAAAACAACATAGTTTATTTACTTAATATATATATATATATATATATATATATATATATATATATATATATATATATATATATATATATATATATATATATACTAGGGGAATCACACCGCGTCACACGCGGTACTTAATGCCCAATATAGATCACATTACATGACTCCATATAACAAGTGTAAAGAAAGAAACATTACTGACTAATACAAGTACAATTGCCAATGGCAAAATGATTTATAAAAGAATAAGAAACATATTACTACAAGATAAATTAAAAATTCAGCATTTTAATCTAACTTCTAAAGAGTTCCACCAATATGTTGTCAAAGACATGCACATCAGCAACCAAACTAACTCAGCTACATAGGAACTCAAGCTACATATTTCAGATAGCATTACATATCCAAATATATACATATAACAGATAGTATCAATAAAAAGGGAGTGAAATATACGCATAGGTCATCATGCCCGAGTAAGCACGAAGTGGTCTCTATTAGCATTTCCAAGCATATCAGCAGCAAAAGTCTAACAGAAGGCAAAATGAGCTAATGAAGCAAAAACACATATTTCTATCTAATTGGGTTTTGAGCAGATACAGATCACTGACATACTTGTGAATGTGCTTGAGCTGATTGAAACTTCTGCAAAACCAAGTTTGAAGACCCTTGTAAAAAAAAACCAAAAAAAGTTAACCATATAACAACTGTTTCGAACGTGAATTTTGAGAAATAATTTAGTCAAGGATTCGGAAGCGGATATTTATACATGCAGGTAAAAAAAGAAGAGTAAAACAACACGAAAAAAAAATTAAAATACTCATAGCACCACAAAAAAAAAAATTATTCCATAACAACTGAGATCCAAATACAGGGGTGATACCTAGAAACACCACTACAACCTTTCATTATACGTGTTTTACCTGATTTGGACGGGAGGCAGGAGACATAGTGAGAGGGTTGACGGAGGCGGAAGGAAGAACTCATCAGCCGAACATCCTACCATAAGAGCATACATACCTGCACTCAAAGCGTTTCCATCCATTAATACACAAAAAAAGAATGGACATGAAAAACAAAACATCCGATACTCAAGAAAGAAAAACACAAAATTCTATGACTCAAACTACAAAACACAAATATCTCACCAAAATGAATAGCTAAACAAGATTAATCAAGAAAGAAGTGCAAGAAAAAAATAAGGAACAAAAATTATGAAGATATACACAAATATCACACTAAAATGAATAGCTAAACAAGACTAATGGAAAAAGAAGTGCACGAAACACATAAGATTCGTGCATTGGGATCCATCAAGTGAAATGTTGAAAGACTCCGTTAAATAGTTCATTCTTTTTGTACTATGTGCAGATGTAGCCATTTATGTGACAAGAGCTACGCAATTTCAACAAAATTTCCACCCACACAAACCAAATAATTAATATAAACACAGTAGAAGAAAAACAAATTATTAACCTTGAGATGACACAAACATTGGTGAAAATAAAGTGGAAGACCTGCAATGGGAACAAACACCTAGGAAATCTAAGTACACCCTTTCTCAGAGAAGGCTATCAAAACAAGATAAAGTTTTGTTCATGTATACTCCAAAACAAAATCATGTTTTGTCCACGTATGCTGAAAAATAAATAATAAAAAATAAAATTCAAACACACAAGCAATAGTATTGAAATATAACTCTTCAACTTTCACAAAGAAGTTAATGAAGTATACCAAAGATTAAAATTGATACGGAAGAATTGTTTAAATGATCTTTAAAAAAATATACTCTCTTCATAATACCAAGGCATCAGATAATCACAAAGGATTAAACTACACATCAGCATATTAACTAAATACATAAGCAAATTAAATTCACTTAACCAGAATATACAAAACCAAATTCGTTGCATAATATATATACAGATACATATACGCACAAATACATTAAGAAACAAGAAAAAAGAGAGAAATATACCTATAACTCATCTTGCGAAAAGAAAATTGCTTTCTCTAGCATTTCCGAAAATTATTATAAAGGATGGCAGGAACCTGACAAAAACAAAGGTACGAAAACAAATTGGATGAAGAGAAAATCGAAACAAAGGCACCAAACCGGATTCATACGAAACCAAAAGAAAAAACTGAGATCAGTCACAAAAAAAATAAACATACATATATGTAATCAAAGAAAGAGAAAGCTAACTTTCCGGGAAAATCTTCCATTAGCATTTTGAAGATCATCACCAATAACCTGCAAAAAAACGAAGGCGGTCAAAATGGAAAATCGAAACCAAAGGCATAAAATTTGGACCTAAAATAAAACAAAAACAAAGGCAGCTCTAGCAGAAACCAAGTATTTACAAAAAGTGAGAAAAATAATAACAACAATAAAATCCAGTTTTACATTTTCTAGAGAGAAAAGTGAAATGGGGAGAAAAAACAGATGAACAAGAAAGAGGCAGCAAGAACGAAGTGAAATGGGGAGAAAAAAAAATATTAGCCTCTTGCACAAACGTCAATAGTGAGATGACATGATTGAAAAGCCGCGTGAGATGACATGATAGAAAAGCTGCAGGAAAGCAGAAATTATGGGCGGCCGGTGAAAGTGAAAAGGCAAGGGAATTTATGCTGATTTATTCGTTTCATATAAAACGGCGTCGTTTCGTGTGAAAACTGAAAAAAAAAAAGCACAAGAAAAATTAAGTGAAATTTGAAGGGTATAGCGCGTGAGTGCGAGTGGTGATGATATTAAAGAACACGAAAAATAGAAGGGCCCCACTAATTTTGGTCCGACCATAAATACAGCAATAAATTTAAATCGAAAGTAAATTACGGCAAAGGTTTGGGCTGGAAATATTCAATAAAAACGGCGTCGTTTAGGGCTCTTTTGTGTGAAAAAAAAATCAAAAGTAATTACATGGACACTATTCATCAGAGCACTACATCTTTATAGGTTTGTAATATATATATATATATATATTGATATGCCTAATTGGCCCAACCCAATGGACCTACAAATTATTTACCTACTGGGCCACGAGCCCAATATCGAAGACCTTTATCACCAAGGCCCAATCACCTTTAAGTAAGGTTTGGGCCCGACAATCTCAACTAAGCTATAAATAAAGGTTTGAACTCATTCCTTAAGGTACGTCCTATTAACTGAGTAATACTATCAACTGTATTCTCTGGACTATTTCCACTATCAGTACGTCTGACTTGAGCGTCGGAGGGGTTTCCGCCGGATCAACCCCCGGCGTAGTTCACGTGTGCTCATTTCGCAGGTACCTCAGGATCATCAAGTTGTCAAGCTACTGATCCGCTTTGCTCTCCCAGTTCATTTTCTACACCACCCTAGGTGAGCTATATTTTAGCATCATATATATATATTAAAAATAAAAAAAAATAAAAAAATAAGTGAGATTCATTGAGCTGTAAGAATAAGTGCTATAATTCGTTGGATGTGTTTTGTAAGGTCATTTTATTATTTATTTATTTATTTTATTTGAAATTGAGACAATGCCAAGAAATGAAACTCGTACCATGAATGATTAAAGAATTTATAAAAATAAATCCCATATATAAATATTAAATAAATATAAGTAGGTATGTCCCATCGAATGCAGGCAATAACAATAAAATGTCCCCTATTCTCTGCTCCTAGGCATCGATTCCTTTGTCCAAATGCACCTATTTAATCAAATAGCCCCACCACCCACTATCATTTTTTTTATTTAATTTCTCTCTTTTTTTTAATTGCAATTGTTGTTTATCTTATTACTAGTATTTCACCTGTGCGTTGCACGGATGTGAGTTTAAAAATGAGAAAAATAAACTTATGTAAACGACTATACATTTATAACAATACCAATTCAAGTAAAATAAAATAGAAAGAAATAAAAAACATAAACTTTATTTCTTAATTTAGAGTTGTAACATATGAAATTAAGTTAAACATTACAAATAAGAAAACATGAAAGCGCGCAAAACACGATATCAAGATTAAGTGAAATCATTTAAAACATATGGTATAACTCTATTTCTTGGATTGCAATCTACTACACCATGTAAATTTTCTGCAAAATAACTAAGGTAACAACAAACACGGTAGCAAAGAAGTAACACAATAGATATTCAAATAACCGGCAAGTTTATCACTACTGGCGTTCAATTAGTGATGCACATTACTCAAACAACAATAAAACTTATAAATATTGCAAAAGAGATATGATGTATAAGCCACTACCAGCACTGATACCAATATTAATACCAATATTATTACGAATAGTGATACTAATTCGATTAATACTAATACTAATACTAATACTAATACTAATGTTAATACTAATGTTAATATTGGTACTAATACTAATACTAATACTAATACTAATACTAATACTAATACTAATATCAATATTAATACAAATGCTAATACTAATACTAATACTAATACTAATACTAATACTTATACAAATATTAATGCTAATACTAATAATAAAACTAATATTAATACTAATATTCATATTGATACTAATACTAATAATAATATTGATAATTATAGTTATATTGATAGTAATACTAATACTAATACTAATACTAATACTAATACTAATATTAATACTAATACTAATCCTAATACTAATACTAATCCAAATAGTAATACTGATATTGATACTAATATTGGTACTATTACTAATACTGACATTAATACTAATACTAATACCGATACTAATACTAATAATAATACTAATACTGATACTAATAATAATACTTATACTAATACTTATACTAATTCTCATACTAATACTTATAATCATACTCATACCAATACTAATAGTAATACTAATATTAATATTCATATTGATACTAATACCAATACTAAGAATAATACTAATATTGATAATAATACTGATACTTACATTGATAATGATAGTTATATTGATACTACTACTAATACTAATACTAAGAATAAGAATAAGACTACTATTGATACTAATACTAATAATAATACTGATACTTATAGTGATACTAGTAGTGATATTGATACTAATATTAATACTAATACTAATACTAAGACTAATATTGATGCTAATAACAATAATAATTCTGATACTGATACTAATACTTATACTCATACTGATACTCATAGTAATATTATATTAATACTAATATTAATGGTGATACTGATATTGACACTAATACTGATACTCATAGCAATATTAATATTAATACTAATAATAATATTGATATTGATACTTATACTAATACTGATACTCATAGTAATACAGTAATACTAATATTAATATTGATACTCATACTCATATTGATACTTACAATCATACTGATACTCATACTAATACTGATACTGATACAAATACTGATACTGATAGTGATACTAATATCGATATTGATACTGATACTGATACTCATACTGATATTGATATTGATACAAATGTTGTTACTAGGGGTGTAAATTTGAATGGAATTTCCGAATTCCGCCAATTCCGATCCGAAAATATCCAAATTTGGAACACTTTTTTTCATTCCGATTTCCGATATTCCGATTTCCAATTTTTCCGATTATTTTTGGAACGGAATTGGAATTACATATAAAATTATTGGAAATTCCAATTTCCGATCTGATTGTATTTCCGATATATATATATATATATATATATATTGTATTTTTGAATTGTTTTTTTCTACTCATGTTTTGCAAGAACTATATTTGTTTTGATAAACCGATTATGTTATTTTTACAAGTTTTTACATTTCATCTTATTGACCTTTGCTTTGCATTCTTGCCTTTTGTCGGAAAATTACGAAAATATTAAAAAAAAAACTAAAAATTACCATTATTTCCGATTTTGGAACAAAAAATTAAGAATTAATGCAATTTTCGAAAATTCCGAAATTCCGCCGATTCCGAGGTATTCCGAAATTGGAATGGATTTTGAAATTCCGATTTTTTTGGAACGGAAATTGGAATCTATTTTTAACTTCCGAAAAAAATTGGAAAATTTCCGAAAAAGGCATTTCCGATCCATTCCGTCCGATTTCCACCCCTAGTTGTTACTGATACTCATACTGATACGGATACGAATACTGAAACTGAAACTGATATTGATACTGATAATTGTTGGGTTTCGGGCACGCATACGCAGCGGAAAACAAAAATTTTACGTGATTTAAACGACTTTAAAACACACAATTACATGCCCGAAGAATTAAATCAATTAATTGCGTACCTTTGCGCTTCCAGCGAAATTAAAAACAACATACATGCTAATAAATTTAACCGAATTTAAATCAATTAACATGCTCGCATTTAAACCAAATAACATGCTTGCAACGATTTAATCGATTACACATAATCACATAAAATCATACATACATAAGCATGAAATCATAGTTTAAATTTAAACCCTAAAACGAAACTAGGGTTTCGAGTAATTACCTCTTGACGCGTGAGGTAGGAGCGAACGATACGTCGTGATTACTACGGAAACCAATCCGTAGAATCGGGGCAGCAGCGGCGCGTGAGGTCACGGCGGCGCGTGTAGCGTACGCGCGGCTTCGGGGCGGCGCGTGGGGCAGCGTGCGGCTTCGGCTCGTGCGTTGCTCCTCGATTCTTCGATCTACAGTCTTCCTCCTCTCGGATTTCACCTCGTATACTTCGATCTACTAAATCGTGGCACTAGACACGAAGTAGTTAGAATAAAACGGAAAGAAAATAAAGGAGAAAGAATACCGAACAAAAGCCGGCCGAGGAACGGCCGTTTCCGGCGACGGAGCGGCGACGGCGGTGCGGTGGTGGCCGCGCGGAAGAGAGGGCGAGAGAGAGAGGGTGGCCGCTTAGGGTTAGGGTTCTCTTGTTGTGTGCTAGGGTTATAAATCATGTATTTATAGTCCCTTGCATGAAACCCTAGCGGGCTTAAGTTGGACTGGGCCCAACAGCTTAAGCTCGTTAGTTTCTTTCATCGCTCGTATCTCTCAATTCAATGATCGAAAAATTGTAACGATTACATTTTCCGAGTCATCATAATTTTCTCGTCATTACGAGTGCCATCTCTTATTTTCCAACTTTCCAAAAGTGGAAACCCTAGTTCAGTGGACTTTCTAAATTTGGAAACTTCCCGATTTAGAAAGTTCACTAACACGTTCGCTTATTCTTTTCCTTTTCTTATTCTCATTCATAATTCCAAATTACGAACGTTGGACTCAATCATATTGACTTCCAATTATGCAAAGATAAACTATTTTATCTCTGACCGTTTATTCAAAGATCTCATGTGCACGAGCAGTGTGACCCTCGATGGTTCAGGTGTAAGCTAGCCGTGGGCCCACAACCCTTTGTGGTCAAAACTCGTCCCCTTCGAGTTACGATTAAGATGAAGCTCGTTTCACCTTAATCACCCAACGAATCAAGATTGGCGTCTAGCAACTACGCGTCATGATTCCCTAGATACAAATGAAGTGCCTGCAAGAACCTTCAGATATAGTTAACGTACAGTACGGTCCCTTCGATTCATATGTCCCGATCGAACTAGAGGCATTGGTTCATCGAGACCTCTTTATATGTTCAATAACGGTGCGATCGTTCTAAGTGTTGTAATCGTCACGTGCATGACTTACAGAATCAAATTCTCTAATCAT